AAAAAAAAAAAAAGAATAAAAGAGAGAGAGAGAATATTATCACGAGTTGTCCAAAAAACATGCATGATGCTTTCATTCTCCAGATATAATAATGTTCCATCTATCGACAATTCATATCCATGTAAAATGTTATTATAAGATAGAGCACAAATTGTCATAGATGTATTATTTGTTGATGCCTGCAGTGAGGGAGTCCCTTTGGAGTATATCGCTGTCTTTTGGGCTGTGTTATTTCCAGGTGCTTTGGTGGCCTTCAACCATGCATCACTACAGTCCTTGCCTCGACTGGCTTCTCTTCGTATTTATTCTGCTGGTATTTGGCACAATGCTGCTGTAAGTACACGCCATACATATTTATATATGTGTATATACATATATGATATTTTTTATTGGTAGATGAAGCCTTATACTGGGACTAAGTAGAGTACTTGTGATAATTGTGCAGTTTTGTGCAGTTTGCAACTTGGCACTGTTGCTTCTTCCTTTCATCTTAAGTCCGTTTTACGTGCATGGTGGAAACCCAATGGTCTAACTCTAAACCCAATCAATTTTCTCGATGAAATGATTTTGTTTATTTTGCACAAAGGCATTTATAAAACTAAAATCTGTTTTCCACTCCTCCGTAGGTTCTTGACGTGCCTTCAACATCACCATTATCTGGTTATCTGTCGCCTTATGACGTTATATACTCTATGGATGACATCCGTATTCATACCCCTCAAGAATGGAAGCAGACTATTATTTTCTTGACACAGAAGTCTCGTTCGAGTTTGTATTATAGCGGGATATCATCAAATGTGGGAAAAGGTTATTGTGTTCCTCGCTCTTTGTGCAAAATGAGCATTCATCTTCGGTTGGAAAAGAATGAGACAGCGATTTGTCCGAGCGAACTAGTTGCATTTGCCCCCGTGATTTGTGGTGGGGCCCAAGAAGAAACAAACAATATCTACTGTTTGGATGCTAAAGATGTTGTAAAACTTAAAAAATGCGGCTACTATGGTGATGCTCAGTATCCGAGTAATCGAAGTGATTGCCATCTTTGTACTGAGGTAAATAATTTAATTAATTTAATGACCTTTATAGTATTAATATCATCATATAAGCATGCAGATTTAATCTGCAGTAAGTTGACTAAACCTAGCTGATTAGCTAGCTTATAGCTTTTTTAAGTGAATTTCGAGCTTATAGCTGATAGCCTATTGACTTATGGTTTAAAAATTAGCTTATATGATAAAAGTGTTCGGTAAAATTAGTTGATAAGCTGGCTGAAATAAAAATTTCAATGGTCTTATTTGAAAAAAGTTAGCCAAGGAAGCTTATGAGATGAGCTCGAGTTTTTCAAGAAAGATCGTCCTACCAAACCAAGCTTATTTGAATACAGGAAACTTATAAGCTAATCAAATAAGGTATAAGCTAGCTTATATGATTACCAAACACAACCTATGAGAGTTTTAAGTTAATTTTACGCGAGACTATCATCATACTAGTTAAGAAAACAATCATACATTTATATGAAGATGTATATTGATTGCCCATTGACAACAGGTAGAATCATGTTTGGCGCCAGTACAGCAGCTGGGTAAAGGATGGATTGAGATAACATATTCAAGCCCACAATGCAAACATGACACGGAAACTAGTTTATTTCCAGACAAGAAGCAATCTATTCGCAGCGAAGGAGAAAATGGTTGCCTTCAAAGTTTTGTCTTCATTGGTGACCTCGTCTCCATGGCACATTCAATCCATTTGACTTCATATCAACCTCGTTTTTCGATTTATTTCGGCACGCATCTTCCGAATTTGCTGGAGAAATTCCTTACTTGTTCCTTTCATGTCTCGTTGCTACTTGCCCTCCTCAACAGTCTCCCGGTAGGTCAAAACCAATTTTTTATTGCCCTTGTGTGAATGTTATTTTCACCGCATTCTTTTTATTCGTTAAGTTTGTTTTCCATTGTATATTTATCCAGAATCTTCTTAAATTCCCAGGTATATTTTCTCGATGGCGAATGTATCCTTGAAGCGAATTTAAACTACTTGAGGTTTTTGAGCTCAAAGATGAAGCGGACGATTCTCCGGGTCTGGCTTCTATTAGGGACTTCTATATCGATGTTTTTTATTGTGCAGAGCATATTTGTCGTTGTAAGTTGATGTGATTTTCATTTCACTGCATCTACTCTGATTAGGGAGTGTTTATTGTGCAGAGCATATTTTTTTTCATTTCACTACGCGTTTCCAACAAATCTTAAATATAAAGTTTCACGCAGTTTTAAAAACACAAGGGAAGAATGTGCATTTTTTTATAAATACAGGAGGATTTGCAATTAACCCTTTTATAAATACTAATAAAGTTGTTGTAATAAACTTGTTCTTTTTTTTTTTTTTGAAAGGAAAGCAAATCCTTGTAATTCAATCAAAAGTATGGGGGTATAAGAGCCCTCAGAAAATAGTAAAAAAGAAAATGTGATGGACTCCGTCCACACAAAAGAAGTCTCGGCATCTATATTGTCTATGTTAGGGTATACAATAGAAGTTCGGAGGGTCGATTACATTGAGCTGAGAATAGGTATAGCTAGCAGGACAGGTATCACAGTCACAGCAGGCACACAAGCGGGCACACAGTTAAGCAGCCATGCAGATACGAAGTACAGGCACAGGAAAGTCTACCAGCAAGTCATTCTACAAGTGTAGCATAAAGTCTTATCCCTTGTTCGAGCCTTCTTGGCATTGGGCATTACCCTGTTGCCGATTCTAGTGACCGATTGTATAGGTGTATTTCTTCCCCACCCTTTAGCACCTACCTGACTCTATTTTGGGCCAGCCAACTCTCGTACTATGGTGGTCGAGCTCAATTACATTGACCCTCTCCTTTAAGACATTTCATTAGGTCTCTGATCTAGGAAAAATGATATATCAAGAATTTATGTCCGGTATGACAAAGACTTTACTCCTGGCACTCTTAGGATATGCACGGCGTTGGTTCTTAGGTCACGTTGGTGTTATCCAACTCATTTGGGGATTTATTAGTCCATTTTCCTGTAGTGCTTCAGTCACCCCAGTCTTTTTCGCTTTATTTCTCCCTCTGTTACATTGACCCTTCTCTTGATCAAAACATTTGTCACTCGATCCCTGGCTCTTCGAAACCTTGCCATCTCGCTGCTACGCTACTTTGCCAAGTCGGTTCTCCTCTCCCTATGGTCGAGCCTGACTGTTTTCCTCTATAGAGTGCCAGGATTGTACGGGTGTTTTTTTTTTTGGCCAAGCACAGTTCTTTGAATCAAAGGTTGAATGGAATCGATTCTTTTTTAGATATCCAAATCTAAATCGGATAAGATAGATGGATGAATCTATCTTTCTATTCATAACAATTACTAAAAAAAAATGGATTTATGTTGTACTTGATTTGGCAAGGGTGCACTGCTTTGGGCTTAATTAGTAAAGACGAAGGGAATAAGCTCGGCTGCTTCTCCTCCACACTTTTTTTTCTCCGTGCCAGTTCCGCATGTGCTTCGCGCGCAATTGACGCTTTGCTCACCTCTTATTCTTCATTGGGCAATTTGGATGGACTTCGCCGTTCTTTCTCAACTAAAATAGAAAAGGCGGATCGAAATCGCCCTTGAGATGCCAATTTGTTTCCCCTTCCACCCAACAATTCCATTTTGAATAAGATTCATGTTTCTCTAGTGTGTTTTTAGTTTATTTATTTATGCGAACATGGTTTTTTTACTTTACATTCTAAACAATATAATACGACGTGTCAAATAGAAAGACTATATTATCGATTATTGATCCACAACCCAGACATACTTGAACTAAATGTCGTGTAAACATTTGTAGTGTGATTTGTGAGTTAGTTGATCTTTAATAAGCCCTTTTTTCCGGAAATTTTAACATTTATTTTTATCAGTTTATGGATACTCCTTTCTATCATTATACTTTAAATTAGTATCATTATTTGAAATTTATGGTTCAATTTATAATATATTTAATACAATTCATAATGTAATGTACTTCTTTGATTAATTGAAAAAAAAAATAATTCAAAAAATTGAATAAACCATATAAATACATAATTTAAAATCACAAAACAATATCAATCATGTATCACACGTGCACTTTACTAGTTCACTTGAAAGAGAAAGAACTTGCATACCAACAGAAGAACCTCAACATCATCAAACAATACTAAAAAATGGTAGCTGCCGCAACAAGAACTGCACAAACTCAACCCAACCTGTCTACAAAGGTTTCGATCAAGCTCTGCCCGTTTACAATTTTTGTTGTTCCAATGATCAATTCGTATGCCATTCCTTCCTACAGATACACGGTTTTAGAATGTGAATCACAAGGCTCAATAAATATTGAGAAATCACTTAAAAACTTGAAAGAGAGTCTCAGATAATGTTCAAATTTAAGGATAAGAATCCAAAAACCTAACTTCTTCATAATTTACCTGAAAACAAACAAAAACAAACAAACAAAGATGAAAGAGGAAATGTTGTGTAGAAGGAATAGAGAATGCAAAACATGTTCATTTCTTGGTAATTCTCGTACAGAGAGAAAGTTGATAACAAGGCTATTTATATGCTAAGCAACAAACCCTACAAACATATCACAAGGGTAGAGATCAAACAACACAAATCCTAGGGTTATTATCCTTGCACGTGCCACTTATACTATGTCTCTTTTGCAGTGCATTAAATGCATGCATGCACATGCTATTTCTTCTGCATGAGGCTGAATAACTTGCTGAGTTGGACGAGGCTTTGTCTACGTGGCATGCCTCAGTTTAACCAGGTTCAACACACCCCTTCAAATCGAGCGAGGTGAAGGGCAACGAGCAACTTGTTTCTCAGCCGAGTGAAGAGTTGTTGACCAAGTGCCTTGGTCATGATGTCTGCAACTTGATGATAATAAGATGGAATGTGGTTTACTGAAACACTCTTAGCTTCAATCTTCTATCTCACAAAGTGTATATCAAGTTCAATATGTTTGGTTCGAGCATGGAGGATAAGATTTGTAGCTAAGGAATTTTGGTCATTTTAACTCCCAGTTCACTCAACAGAGCTTGTATCCAAGTGATTTCTGCCACATTGTGAGCCAAACCCCTATATTCTGCCTCTGTGCTCGATCTTGAAATGGATTTCTGCTTTTTGGCTGCCCAAGACACCAAATTATGTCCTAAGAACACACATGATCCTGTCATGGATTTCCTATCATCTTGGTCTCCTGCCCAATCAGCAATCATCATCTAAGAAACCTGTGATATTCAAATGAGATGACTCATCATATACAAACCAAAGTCCAAAGTTCCTGAAAGATATCTCAAAATCCTCTTAACTGCCTTCCAGTGAGACGTTAATGGATTAGACATGAACTTGCTAACTTTGTTCACAACAAAGCTTATTTTTGGCCTGGTTATAGTAGCATATTGCAATGCTCCTACTGTTTTGCTGTACAACGTTCCATTAACACCAGAATCACCATCAAATTTTGACAAGTGTTGAGATGACACCATGGGAGTTGGACATCCCTTGGCTCCTGTCATATTAACTCTCTCAAGAATGTCCTTGATGTACTGTGTCTGACTTAGATGCACACCCTGTGAAGTTTCTTTAAATTCAATTCCCAAAAACAGTCTCACTTCCCCAAGATTTTTCAGTGAGAAGTTCTTCTTCAAATGATCAATTACTTCCTTTATGGCAACATCACAATTTCCAGTTATCAAGATATCATCAACATAAATGAGGAGATATATTTTCTTAACCCCTTTGGCAAGAACAAAGAGAGAAGTGTCTGCTCTAGAGTTTTAAATCCCAACTGCAAGAGAACTGACCTTATTTTAGTGAACCAGCTCCTTGATGCTTGTTTCAAGCCATACAAGGACTTGTTTAATTTGCAAACAAGTCCTCCTCCTCCTTCTTCAAAATCATATGGCTGTTTCATATATATTTCTTCCTCCAGTAATGGTGGAACTTTGTACAGAAAAACAGTAGGATCATTGCAATATGCTACTATAACCAGGCCAGAAATAAGCTTTGTTGTGAACAAAGTTAGCCAGTTCATGTCTAATCCATTAACTTCTCACTGGAAGGCAGTTAAGAGGATTTTGAGATATCTTTCAGGAACTTTGGACTTTGGTTTGCATATGATGAAGTCATCTCATTTGTCACAGGTTTCTCAGATGCTGATTGGGCAGGAGACCAAGATGATAGGAAATCCATGACAGGATCATGTGTGTTCTTAGGGCAGAATTTGGTGTCTTGGGCAGCCAAAAAGCAGAAATCCATTTCAAGATCGAGCACAGAGGCAGAATATAGGGGTTTGGCTCACAATGTGGCAGAAATCACTTGGATACAAGCTCTGTTGAGTGAACTGGGAGTTAAAATGACCAAAATGCCAACAGTTTGGGTAGATAATTTAAGTGCTATCTACTTAGCTACAAATCCTATCCTCCATGCTCGAACCAAACATATTGAACTTGATATACATTTTGTGAGAGAGAAGATCGAAGCTAAGAGTGTTTCAGTAAACCACATTCCATCTTATGATCAAGTTGCAGACATCATGACCAAGGCACTTGGTCAACAACTCTTCACTCGGCTGAGAAACAAGTTGCTTGTTGCCTCCTTCACCTCGCTCGATTTGAGGGGGTGTGTTGACCCTGGTCAAACTGAGGCATGCCACGTAACAAAGCCTCGTCCAACTCAGCAAGTTATTCGGCCTCATGCAGAAGAAATAACATGTGCATGCAGGTATTTAATGCACTGCAAAAGAGACATAGTACAAGTTGCACGTGCAAGGATAATAGCCCTAGGATTTGTGTTGTTTGATCTCTACCCTTGATATGTTTGTAGGGTTTGTTGCTTAGCATATGAATAGCCTTGTTATCAACTTTCTCTCCGTACGAGAATTACCAAGAAATGAACAACATGTTTTGCATTCTCTATTCCTTCTGCACAACATTACCTCTTTCATCTTTGTTTGTTTGTTTTCACTCCACAATGGAGCCAACCTTTCTATATACAACAAGTAAATCATATATACCATATTAATAAAATTATTATTGTTATTATTTAAGTAATCAGTGAATATGATAGTGAATATGATGTGGTTCATTTGTTGTATATAGAAGGTTGACTCCACTGTGGAGCCAACTGTTGGCTTCATAGCAAAACTGTGCACAGAAAGACACATGTATGCTTTTACAATTTGACTAAATGAAGTGAAAGCAAAAGCTGATAATTTAATTTAGATTTTTTAAGACTTTTAAAAGTTGGAAGGTATTCATTTGATATTTTAAAAAGTCCTATAAAATCTTGAGGTATTTAACTTATTTAAGACTATGATTTGTTAAGTTTTTATAAGATTTGTTGGAATTTCAAAAGAAAATACCATATACGTAATCTCACTCGAATCCCACCTCCAAACTTATGATTCCTCTTAAATCTAAAAATCTCAAAAAAGTCTCAAATTTCAAAAATTCTCATAATGTAACTCAAAATCCCCTAAAAGAATACACCCCTCTAAGAAGAAAAGTGATATTCTTAAACTAACACAGCAAACTCTTTTTGTTTTTCTTCTAGTGTTTGCAATCACTAATGAGTTTCCTTCGACCCTTGGTAAAACTCATCTCACTAGCATTCAAAGTACGATTGATTGAGATTAACATTAAAATAGATCAAACGTCCTCAGTATACAAATATAGTAATGGATTGCAAAAGTTGTACCTGAGAACTGAGAAAACGGAGAGCAGAAATCTCAGCAAATGTAACTCCTCCAATAAAAATTACAAGGACTAATGCACGCCTTCCATCCGCATGTCTGGAACAATCAGAAAATGTATAATTAGATTGAAGTGCCCCACAGCCATTTATTCCTTTCACCATTAGACTTAGGCACCCAAAAAAAAAAAAATAATAATAATAATAATAATAATAAGATAGCAGTTTTCTTTAAATACAACAATTAGCAAAATCAAGAACACCATTGCGGGGTTCGAGCTCTAGATTCTAGCAAATTCACTTCTTTAGTTGGGAGATTATATTAGAACTCTTAACAGACTTTGTCAAAATCATAGAATGTCTGGAATTGCAAATTTTTATTAGAGTACAGCAAAAGTGATTGTTATAAGCAACAACCGGTAAAGAAATCTAACTAAGGTACGAGGGGAAATGTAAAAGCTTGAAGGGATCAGAAATTTTCGTCAGAACAAATTAAAATAAAAAAAGTTCAGGAATAAAATAATACTTTTCCAAACTGTTTAGAGATCCTGGCAGAGTGTCATAAGATGGGATGCTAGAAAATCCACCCTGAAAAAGATACAAAGAGTCTCGCCACTGTTAGAGTCACTAGCTCTGAGGTTAATATGACAATGTGGGGACATATAAAAAGATCCTTACTCTCTTGATTTCCGAGTGGGGCCCAGGCAGCAGCCTCAGTATTTCTTCAACAGGGCGCCTGCATGATATATTTTGATTGCAATATGAGAAATCGGTTTAACTAAAAAAACAGAATACGACTTGTTCTACTCGAGTCTTAGAACTCTTATTTGGCCATTCATTAATTCTCCCTTTCGTTTACTAATAAACTAGATACAAAACTCCTTAATAGCAGTTCAGAATAAGCAAACACTAAAACTCAAGCAGACTTCATTTTCCATATTATCCCAACATTTACAAGAGAAGAACCGATTTTAATTTAAGACCAAGCAAACATGTTCGTCGCTCCCATTAATAGCAAGAACTGATATTATTTGTCTTAGTCTACCAGAATAATGTACAATAATAGGACAATTAGAAAGGAAAGCTCTCACCATCCTGATCGTATTGCCTGCTGAACAAGTCGAACACTGAGAGGTGCATATCCAGAGAAGACATAGGAAATATCCTTTGGACTGGTAAAAACGAACGCGCAGTAACATAAGAAAAAGCAAGTTGAAAAGAAAAAGAAGAAAAAAAAAAAGAAGGCATGCTGGAATTGATAATGAGAAGTGATCTTCAGATAATTAGGATGTGTTTGTAGACAACGAAGCGCATCTTGGTGGTAAGACGCTTCACCTATCATGGTTTTGAGTCACCGAGAAGGAGAAGTGAGAACACTATTGATCCTCCTTTTAAGAAAAAGAATTAGGGTGTGTTTGTATATTAAAAAATTCAATCCACACTCAAATCTAACTCAACTTTAACTCAACTCCACTATCCTCAATATTATCAATATAATTAAATAATACCAACCATTCATTCTTACATATCACATCAAATTTAATTAACTATTCCTCTACTCACATAATTTAACTACACTTCACATCATCTCTCTTCTACTTTTACATCAAATCAATGTTAATTATTTTATTTTAAATATTATTTTAATATAAAATCAAAATCCCATTAACAACTAAGCATACCACTTTCTTTCAAATTAACCCTGGTTAACCAAAAAATTCATTTTGATCAAATCAATTTTAATTATTTTATTTCAAATATGATTGTAATATAAAATCAAAATCCCATTAACAACTAAGCATACCACTTTCTTTCAAATTAACCCTGGTTAACCAAAAAATTCATTTTGAGCAGATATATTCCAAGCACGCCCTTAGTAACAAGGAATTGAGTTCATGAGATTTCAAAATGCTTCAATCAATTTGCCCTTAGTCACAAGGAATTGAGTTCATGAGATTTCAAAATGCTTCAATCAATTTGAAAAGAATGCCACTTTCATGTCCAAACTCAATTTCAGGCTATTAGAGGCTCATTGTCACCTATTTGTAGAAACAAGACCAAGACGGCAGTAATGAGGCTAGCCCATTAAAGTTCATCTAATGCAGAACAAAGTAGAGCCATCACTTCTATGGGGAAACAAGAAGAACGCCCTCAAACACAAGAATGATCATAAGATCTTCACCATAGACCTAGCCTTTCTTAATGATGAAATTCAAGGATGCAAATATTAAAAATGTAACTTTTCTAAAGTGACCAACATATTAAAGTGACTTATAAAAATATCAACAAAGACCACGACCCCTAATAGAGGACCTGGAACATTGTTCAAAAGTTACAAATTCCAGCACAACCTAATCTCTTCACCTGTTTTGGAGCATAAAAAACAAACAAGACATTAAAATTAGCATCAAACTAAACATACTTAGCTGTGTCAGTATCCTCAACTAACAGTTGCAAAGCACGTTTGACGGTCAGCCAGTTGCTTTTGGAGTCCTGCAATGCACGGTAGAATAACCATCTCGTAAGATTCTGTCAGGTTAGGGTAGGTTGATAGGAAAAACCAAAAAAATATATACGTATATATATATATATATAATATAAATTAAGTTTAACCTGCTTCCTAAAAAGTCCAGCTTTTTCTAAGTTGTCAAGTGTAACAATATGCTCGAAACCATAGCTGTGAAGAATCTCTCTCCTGAGCAAAGGAAAAGTTGAAAATTGGAAAACATAAGAGACTTCAAAGCTCTTTCACGACCTTTTTTATATTAATTTGATTTAAAAGAAAACAGTATAAGAGATAAATCACAAATTTCACTTGCCTCAAATAATCAAAATTCCTTTTTGGCAACCCTGAGTTTGTTATTGAAAATAAGATTAGTAGCCGTAGGACAAGTACAAGAGGCTCCTGCTTATGGATCATTTCTTCAATATAATCAAAACATCTGCATTCATGGACAGCATCTTTCTGGTTTAGTCACATTAGAGCACTAACACAGTGCCAATACAATCAAGAGGGATTGCAAGTAGAACAAGGTACTTATGATCTAAAGGCCATTGAAAATGGCACATAAGTATATATAGCCCATTTAAAAGCAGCGAAGGATTAGAAGATTTTGGTCTTCATACTGACATAAGAATGTTGACTAATAGCAGTGTAATTCACAAATTCTGAAGAACAGTAAACATCAAAGCTTACTCTAGGATCAACCACAATAAACTACAATGAACATGTGAGAAGTGACAACAGAACAGGTAGATTGAAATCCCACGAGGTTATAATGGATAACAAGAACAATCAGCAAATAGAACAATTTATTGAATGTGAGGGACTTAATTTCATTCTTGAGCTAACATATATCCTTATAGGTTTACAAATCCGATATATTAGTCAATATAAATTCAAGAAGACTCGCACCTAAAGATCTCAGTAATGAACAAAAGAATTCATAGGAATTGTACAAGGTCATTGCATTACATTTCATAGCTCTGCGCTTCCAATAGTGTTTGTTCCATATCAAGTCTCCCAGGAAAGGATGGTTTTGACGTTAGTGTTGACAAATGCTGAGCAAGATTTATGTGCCGCTGGATTGATAACCACAGGTGTTTAATTTCAATAATACACATAATAACTTTCCAAAATAGGCATGACATTTAGAAGAATACTTACAGTCATCTCAGGTAATGAATTAAGCTTCTTCACGAAGTCCTTCAATTCAGAGACTGTCTGAGTCTGTTTATAGAAAGCAGAATCAGAACACAATGGGGTAGAATTTATTTGATGTGCAAGGTTTTCTATTACAATAAAACTAAAAGGAACATGAACTATTCAAGTAAGTTGACCGAATTAAGGTTTCTAAATTTTTCATATTCAATTGACATGCACTTATGTTCTGTCCACACATGAATGCCATAACACTTGGCAATTTCATGAAGTGTAATGACAGAGAAGTGTCCAAAAGAACCTTAGATATACCAAGTCAAGAGAAATGGTGAACCTCACGGATCTTCAGTTCAATGTAGAATAACATAAGTTCGAAGAAAACTTATAAAATGAGATCAGTATCCATTAACGTAAAAGTTAACTTCAATTTTTGTTATTACACAATACTTGCAGCAAAAGTGGGTGAAATATTTGGAAAAGGACAAGCTCAAAGGCATAATCATTTACAACTTACTGTAGTGGAAATTTCTGTGTAGTCTTGCTTCATGGATGTCGCTTTTTGACGAAGAACCTGAAATATACTGCAAAAAACAATTAAAGAAACAGATCCTCAAAGGTATTCTGCAAGCGAACACCAAAACTAAGACACCTGGAAGCAAAAAACACGACAAAGTAATTTATCTACACTAAAACACAAATAGATTAACCTGGACAACGACTTCAAAATTCAGATCTCGTGTCTCCTTGAATAATTTGTCACTACAATAAAGACAACGAGCACAATTGGTTATCATAAAATGAATGAATCAAGTCACTTCAAGTATGGACACCAACATATTCTAAGCACCAGGGACAAACATATGGATAAAGTAGTGGATGATCAAGTAAAGTCAATCACATAGTCAATGAAAACCTTAAAGATGAAAGGCGACGAACAAAGCCATAGATATCCAAAGTTAATGTTGAAGTGCGCTTAGCAATTTAAAAAAGCCCACTGCCCTAAAGATGTATATATGCGCTTAGCAATTTAAAAAAGCCGTTTGCCCTAAAGATGTATATTTAAAATGCTCTCCTCAAAATCTACTTAAAATTCTTCAAAGCAAACAATGTTATTGTGCCTACCTAGAATTAAGTGGAATCTTCATTTTCTTCCCTTCTTGTTGAACTCCCATGATGGATCCATCAAGTTCCACAGCTCCATTATTGACACCAAGAAACTGCATCGAACCTATTAGACATACTTTATAAACAAATCCAGAAAAGAACACACAGAACCAAGGTATTACGACACTATCAATTGGTGGTTCAACACATTCTTCGTCCCGTTAAAACCTTATTAATACTGTCAGTTTGATCAACAAAATTAATACAGATATTGTCTAGTAAAATGATCTCAAAAGTGACTGGCAATTTTATATATATCTGAATAGCCCCCGGAGATAGCACTGAAAAACATAGTGCACAAAAGTTAGCAACTGATGACAAGAACCGTTTAGGTTTCACACAGAATGTACGACATCAGAATCTACTCACAGACTCAGGTTAGAGTAGTTCAAGATTTTGCATACAGTGAGCAGTATCAGATTTGCCTTAACTTGTAGTTTTACCTCGTCTAGCAGTCCCTCATATGTTAATTGGGTACACATTGGAGTGACCATATCGACCTGCCACACGAAAATAACAAACCTAAAATCACAGAGATATGGATGTATGCAAGTAAAGGCACTAGTGCAATAAGGTGACAAGTGAATATTTATTACATCTGGAGTTGTGTAAACTTTAAGATTCAACAATAGCCAGAAAAAAGTAAACAACAAACCCAAACGTTATTATAGACTTCGTACAGATTTCAGGCAGCAAACAAAGGAAGCCTACTTAAATAGATCGATTTAATAAATATTAGGCTTCACTTGGAACATAGTATATGCATATGAAGTAACATAGTTACTGGGATGTCACACCACATGCAACATTGATTTCAAGGTAATTCAAATCATGAAGAATGCATAACAAATCATGGAAAGACAAACAAAACCTTGCTAATTTAGTTCCGAATAGATGTTCATTGTAAGGAAGGTAATAATCCTAACCCATGGTAACAAATCTTAGTTAATCCCCACGAACACTCTCTGAAGGCCAAGGGAGTATCAAGAAACACATCACTGCTGAAAAGTTGCAGCTACAAGTTGTTTACAATTGTAGGCATGGCATTTTGAGTAAGTTTGGAGCATAGCTGGTGACAGGATCACATAGAGAAGCAGTGACTCAGGCTGTTAGGTCCAGTGATTAGAAAGGTGTTAAGTCTGGTCCAGGTACATGATGGTATTTCAACTTGCCTAGTTGCCTTTTTGTCTTCCTCTCAATTCTAGGGTTTTTATGATCTTTGATTATCAGATGAGTTCAGATGATCTCAGGTTTACCTGATGAGAGTTCCAAGGGCCCACATTTTACACGACGGAACACTAACAATGACCTGAACATTTGCAGGACTGTATCCTATTCTGTTCACAAAACATTTATCTCTTTGTTTTGGAAAAGAAAAAAAATACTGCTCTTGAGCATGCACAACTTGCATGAAAACCATCAAAAGACATTCTACATTACCCTTATACACAGCCAAACGGAACACAAGAAAAAAAGAGCTTGGAATGCAGCCTTTTGTCCTCCTAGTAATGCAGCCCTTCTTCTCACAAGGATAAAGCTTTGTCATTAATAACAAACATTCTACTAAGGTATCAAGGAATTATATACAACCTACAGAATCAACTGAACATGTAATAGTGCCATAATTACCAAGAGTAGGGAAGGTTGGTACATAAAATGGAAAAATAAATTAACTGAATGGAAGTGTACCTCTCTATCCAGAAGTACAAGAGTGTTTATTTCTGGAATGCCGACCTGCAGTAGACAAAATTCAGTTACTTGTATGTGTAACACCGAAATAAAAAAGAAAAAGATTTCTGTACTCCTGTATTGACGAAAAACTACATCTGATCTGTTAATAGGCTCTTCAGCTTGCATCCTATTTAAAATGTCAGCAACACGTGTAGCTGCCTTGCCCTTGGCCCTAACATTTGGTATTACTCCAAAAGAAAACTGCATTATAGATCAAAAGAGAATCATAAAAAACTGTAGGAAGAAGAAGGGAAAAAATATACAGGTTGGACATATAGGGTGTGATTGGTTATAAACTCAACCAAAAAAAAAAAATATATTAACTCAACTTTAACCCAACACCTCTATCCTCAATATTATCAATATAATTAAATAATATCAACCAATCATTTTTACACATCACATCAACTTTTTTTTTTTTGGTAGCCAGCCACGGTATCCGGAGCTACGCCCCGACTAATCCGTTGGTCGACCCAGGTCGCACACCTGGCAGTGGTGGGTGAGTCTCCCAACAAAGGTTTTCTGCATCCACAAGGTCTCGATCCCAAGACGTTGTTTAAGCGACATCAACTTTAATTCACTATTCATCCACTCACATAATCTAACTAACCATCACTTCCAATCATTGTTCTCCTACTTTTACATCAAATCAATTTTAATTATTTTATTTTAAATAATATTTTAATTTAAACATAAATTTCCACTAACAACTAACCATACCACATTATCCAAAATTAACTATGGTTAAAAATAACAACAAAAACCAGTCAAATCCATATCCAATCACACCCACACTAATTTAGCATATCAATACCAACAAACTAAGGAAAAATTCAAATTACTTTATACCTCCAGATTGTGAATGCCTTTTGAAATATGCCAGAGAGAGGTAGCATCTCCATCCACCAAATATTCCTGTCAGGCATATTCTAATAGAATTAGACACCCCTGGACACAAGACTAAAGAAATGCAAAATAACTGCAACAAAATGGAAACAGAACAATTATCTTCTCCCTATTAATAAGTCAGTTCCAACATAACGAATAAAACCACATACTTTCTGAGCTAGATCAAGCTCGAATGATATTAAATCCTCGTCCAGTGGAATCATGTACAATGGAAATTCCCCAATGTTCAACAATTCATGAACTTTTTCCTCCTGAAGTACCTGTCGAGATCCGATAGATACATGTGAGCCAGTGTTACTCGCCACAAAAGGATTTCTCCAATTACATGATTTTAACAAACACCACGCTGCTCACCTTTTCACATGCAACCAGCCGGCGAGGAACAAAGTAGAGGTAGTACTCCCTATGAAGCCCTTTTGATGTATCATTATGAATGTGTGAGCAAATGGATTTCATCAAATCAAGCTGCGCTCGAACAAGGTACACCACTTTGGTGCGCTCAGTTTGAATTGGCTCTGCTGTTAGATGCCGCAATTCAGCACCATGTTTCTGGCAATAAGAAGAATTGTGGCTTTCAAAAAAGTTTCTTACCAGTTTTGTAGGGTATCAAATATCAAAACAAAATTACTATCAATATACTAATAGAAAATGCTACTGTTCACCCCAATAGTCTAGATAAGAGATTTACACAACAGTTGTAATAGAAAATGCTACTGTTCACTCCAAGCCAAAAAACTCAATGATAAAACACAATAAGAACCAATGAGTGCTCACAAGAACATAGAATACCTTCAGTTCCGAGCTTTGGACCAGAAGTGACAGAGACCCACTAAGCTTCGGATCAATCACCAAACATTTGTCTCCTCGAACCTTCCGTATAAATTGCAAACAAATAAACAAATGGGAACATCTTCACAAAAATTAAACGCAGAATATAAAACCCATCAACCAATGATCCCATTAAAATAAAAGATCTCACATTTTTGAGGATGCTTTCCAGCTCCGTTTGAGCTCGAGCTCTGGCGTTCAAGAACCACCACAAATTAGACAATGGATTTCAATATACAGTGAAATTATAGAGGTTTCACATGAAGTTCGTGGAGAAAACAAAAAAATAGAATCAAGAATTGTACCGAATGGAAGTGAGATTGATTGGGGCATTCTCCAGGTTTGGAATCTGAGACATTTCTTTCTAGCTTCCCCTTTCTCTCTTCCCGTTCTCTTCTTTGCGCGACTCTTTCAAAAGTTCCTCAGCGAAATCGCTTTTCTTCTTAACCAATTTTCTTTTTTTTTTTTACTTTTTTACAGATAAATTGCAACAATTAGCATAAAAATAATTTGAAATATTAAAATTAACTTTTTCTTTATCTTTTATTTTAATGATATAAATAATTTAATATATAGTATTCACTAATTACAAACTAATTATTATTTTAAAGCTCCTATTTATAATTAAGAAACAAAAAAATTTAACATATTCAGATATTATCAATAAATAGTATTCATAAAATTACTTTACTTCTATTTTTTTATCCATGCATAATTGCAATTTATTATTTCAATTCCTAAAGTTGAAGGTAGTCCATTTCGTATACGAGTCTGGCTGCCAGATTGGGACGAGTTTCACGGTATATTATCCGCCTTTGTGCACATCTGTATAGCCGCAACTCTACCCCCGAGAGCGACGACAAATGACGATCAAATCATTTGGGGCCTCGCCTCTGATGGTAGACTCTCTACAAAGATCCAGATAAGCACCTATGGAAGCATATATGGAGAGCAATGGCCCCGCAGTCGGTTCAAAATTTTATATGGCTCGCAACTAAAGAGCGGCTTCTAAAAAATTTATTCAACGGAGTGCAAGTTATATGGGGAAAGCGAATCCGTGCTGCATGCATTGAGAGATTGTCATTATGTTAAGAACTTCTTGGCTCGACTACTCCCAACCCCGTATGACCCAAAATTCTTTGAGCTACTATTGAAATCACGGTTTTATGTCCGCTCTTAGTGTCAATGTCGGCCCAGCATAGTGCTTTCGCTCAGGATTTTGCTTAAACTTTGGTTGGGATCCTTCACGAACAGGAGCAGCCTCTTTTCGATCGTAGTTTGGCGATCATGGAATTGGAGGAACGAATGTGTCTTCAACCAAGAAATTTGGAGCTGCGAGGCACGTCGATCGAAGGTGTTGAATTGTGTGGACACTTATATTTATTCTCTTGCGTCCATTAATAAAGTATGAGATGCATCAAAGCATTCTGACATTAGATTGATTCATTGGTTTCCATTAGATCTAGGGTGAATCAAAATAAACATCGACGGTGCTTTTGATAATTTTACTAGATTGAGTAGTGCACAAGGGATCCTTCATAATAAGTTGTGAAGATGGGTAACAATTTCATCATGCACATTGGGCTCTGTATAATTATGGGTGTGGAATTGTGGGGCATTTTTCTGGGGCTTCAACTTGCGTGGGAGAAAGACTATCGTCAAGTTATCGCAAAGAGCCAATGTGTGGTAAACATGATCCTTAGCACCAATAATACTTTGGAGCCCATGAAGCATTAGTCAAGACAATTCATTGCTTGGCTCAAAGGAAATAGAGCATTACGGTACAACCTAAGCATAGAGAAGTCACCTCTACGGTAGACCATTTGGCAAGCTTAGTGATCGACTCTCCGATCAGAATCAGTTATTATTTTTCTCTCCCCCTGGCATGGGATCTTGGCTCAAACACGATATTATCGGGGTCTCTTATTCACGTCAAGTTATAGTTTAATCTTCATGACTTCGGTCTCCTTCATTGTACAAAAATAAATAAATAAATATAAATCTTATTACATATTAACTTTATATTTTTAATTTAGAAATATGATTTAATATTACTTAATCGCACATTCAATCATAGTTCCTCGTGCAATTGAAAATAGCAACAATTAATAGCAAAGTCCTTTTTGTCTCTCTTATCCCAAAACCCCCAATCTCCCTCCCTCCCGTAAAAACAATCCTTCTCTGCCACCCCTCCAACCCCCTCTCTTAGTTGGGTTTGCCGCTCGGCGCCAGCATCACCGAACCATATAACTCCTCCCTCTAGACATCACAACCCTCTCCCTAGCATAGAATTTTGCCGCACTAGTCGGTAGTCTCTGACATTGTGAGGGTTTCGTTGGTGCTGAATTGCGACGAGACGCGGACCTTCGACTCTTGTTGGAGTTGAGGTATGGTTCTCAACCCCTTTTTTTTTTCTGTCACCCTGATTTTTTGTAGGTCCGTGGTGGTTAACCGGTGTGATTGGTGGATGGGCGACGACCGTCTGGTGGGCAGATGGAAGCTCTACCTTCCGGTGGGCTTGCGAGCTTGTTGACTGTTTAGGGTGATGGGTGCCATCCTCTGGTCACCGGTACGGGGTAGTCCGTCCGAGCAAAGATTTTGTCGTTTAGTGTGGTTCCAACTAGCCGTATCTACACTAGAGTTTCTGGTTTGACATTTGGGCTGGAGTCCTATCTTGGTGCGAGGCTGTCTCCAGAAGTGGGGTCGCGGTTTGATGGAGTTTGTTTGGTGGCTAAGAGGAGGGTGGTATTATATTATCTAGTGTTTTGTATTGTGTTTGTGTTTTTAGTAGTGTAGTGGTGTTTTTATTCTGCGAAGTAGTTGTTTTACTCTCTTCTTGTAGGAGTCGTAGGCCCCGTTTGGAAGATAGCGGATTGAGGATAAATTAGCGGATTGGACTTAATTGAGAGGTTTGACCCGTCAAATCCGCTATTGAGCTTGTTTGGTAAATAATTTATTTGATAAGCTTTTTAGGCCCAAAACTTTAATTTAGAAAAAGCTCATTAGAGGAGCTTTTTGGGGATAGATAATTCACGATCTACAATTTTAATTTAAAACTTTTTAATTTGTATTATTTATTTTACAATCTACATTGGTTTATGATGCTAACAAATAATAATATGTCATCCATATGATTAATTTATCTAAAAAAATGTAAAATTCATAACTTCTTAATCAAGTGTTAGTATTTTTTTAAATATATATATATATATTTATAAATTACCAACTAAAAAATATTAAATCTTTTAATATATTATTATTAAAAGAATACACCATAAATAATAAAATGTCCTTATTGGTAATTTGCAATGTCAAACAGTTATAAGCTTTCAGTTATTTATCAAACACTTATTTAAAAACCGCTAATGCAATCTGCTAGTCAAATCAGCTAATATAATCCACTATCCACTAATTCAATCCGCTATCCGCTGATCGCCAAACAAGGTCGTAGTCTTTCCTAGTTGGAGTTTCTTATTTCGTTTGTTTCATGGGGTGTTAGAGTAGTTCTCTAGACATCAATTGTCGGAATTCTTTTTAGATTCAGTTAGAGGACTATCAACTTATTGTCTAATTGTAATTATGTATTTTTATTTTATAAACTAGTACAACGCCCGTGTATTACACGGGTGCTTGCTAATTTTTTTCTTAAAATCTAAAATTATTGAGAAAAAGTAGTTGAAAATTTAAATAACTTTTATAAAAATATATATTATTATATATTTAGTATGACACTTTTATTTGTGTGACATACTTGTGTTATAATATAATAATTTTTTAACTTACAACATATAACTACATTAAACAAAAATATATCAACTGAGAAATAATTTTATTTTTCTAATAAAATTTAATAAATATTATTTTTTATTATTATAAAGGTAAATAATATTTATTTGTTTTATATATACAATATGGATGTCAAATCGAAGATCATGAAAAGATGATTAATTTGATATATTATATATGTAAAACCGATAAGAAATACAAAAGTTATCAACTTTTAAAAATACATGTATAATTCAATAGCTAATTGAAGGAAACAAATCAAAAGTCAGGGATATATTAGTCACTTAGTGTCTTACTATGTAGAACTAAAGGGTTATATTAGTACAAGTGATATTAAAATACCTAAGTTAGCTAAATAATATTTATGGAATGTCCGAACCTAGATATTAATTATTAATATATCAATATTATTTGTCCGAACCTAATTACGAAGCATGATTCTTCGCCAAGTAGGATTTCGAAGCACCAGAAGCAGCCACGTAGGCTCAGCGCATTCGGGAATTATATATAGGGGCGATTTTATGGTTTCTCATGTCGAAATGGTCTTCTCGAATCACAAGTGACAAGTGGTATTAAATGGAATTTTACATATAATAATAATGGGGGAAAAAGGTGAGCAAGGTTGCAAGTCACCTCTCCTTATGTCCGTTTGCTGAAGCAATATAAAAATCGACTGTCATTCCCATAACTGAATCAATCAAATCCCGTATTCTTTTTCTTCCATACTCTCCACCGCCATCTGATCCCATTCCAAAATTGAAATAAACATCATCCTGATCGTCATCATTGCTACGCCATGGCAGCCTCCATACGCCTCCGCCGTCTCGGCGCGGTCGCCGCCTTGGCCGGAGGCGCCTGCTTCACCGTTCTCAGCACCCCTCCGGTCTCTTCCAGCGACCGTGGAACCCTCGGCCCCACCCTTGCCAGTGTGAAGCAGAAAATTGCGGACCCTTTCGCCGTTGTACCGTCTCGCGCCGTCCAGGAGTCGGCTTTGATCGGCTCCAGCGCGGCAAATCCACTGGACGTCCTCGTCATCGGCGGCGGGGCCACCGGCTGTGGGGTCGCGCTGGATGCGTCCACGCGTGGTCTTCGGGTCGGGCTTGTCGAGCGGGACGATTTCTCGTCCGGCACTTCCTCGAGGTCCACTAAGCTCATCCATGGAGGTCTGCATTCCTAATTGTGTGAATAGATCATTTTTTCCTTTCGCTTTTGGATTGTACTTCCAGTTTTTAGGATTTTGCGTTGTTATCCGACGGGTGAGATGGGGCCGATTAGTTCCCCTTTCATGCTGTCATGGAGTATCTGTGACTGGGTCTAAAGTTACTAAAGAACTGCCCTGTTTCTTCATGTGAACAAAAAACCCTACATTTATTTTATATTGGTCAAGAGGTGGCTAGGAGAGCATTAATTCAAATAATTCGATGTTGAAAGAGTTGGTTCACAGTTATGAGATGCGATACGACTGAATGTGATTTTCTCTGAAGA